GCACAGAGAGCCACGTTAGCTATCCAGTAGGAAATGCTGGAGGGGGTGGGGATCCAAAGGTGCCTATATCACAGATAGGGGCAGGATTTGGGTATCCTGTTCAGGACTGGAAAGAGGTGTAATTGAACTCTGGATCTATTCAGGGGTAGTGATGACTGAATCATATGCATTCAAGATGCATTGTATAGTGAACATCTACCTTGCCTTCTGCCTATCTTGTGTTAGGCAAAGTTACCCCACAGTCAGGGCTTGTTGTCTGACTCTTCTATATCTACACTGGTGGAAAGGTCAGTGATGTTAGTGTTGGCCACATAACCTACCCAGGTGGTAAATTTGCTGGGCCAGAGAGCACGTATACAAGTGTGTGCAATTCCAGCAAAAGAGCTAGAGCAGTCACAGGAAAGACCTGGGCTCCAATTCCAGTTTCAAGGACTATTCTGTGCATTTAATAGTAATCTTTCACTGAAGCATGGCTCAGCTTCAACAGGAGGGAGTGTGAGTTAACATTCATTGTAATGCTTAGTAAAGGCAGCTATTCAGAGCTAATTGCTCTTGCATTGAAATCATGTTGCAAGATGGTAGTACTAAAATAACATGGCTGCAAGCATTAAGGAAACTTATTTTACTTACATAGTTTCCTTACTACTTTTAAAATGCAGTAGATAATGGTATGAGACTATCTGCATTTTTAGAAATCTGTGAGTGTAACGCACATAATACAAAAGGGACGTTGTTACTCAAAATCCTTAGGAGCTCAACTGGTTTTATGACATCACCTGTCCACAGCCCAGGCTAAGCTGTTTCTACAGTTCGCAGAATGCTTGCATATAGCACGGCCACTCTCAAGAAGTGATTTGTTTCTTACAGGAGAGAGATAAGACCTCATTTTGAAGTACAAGTTTAATACTGAATTGTTACGGGTACATTTGTCTCTGCACTGGAACAAAAGTATGGACTGTATCTGAACAAGCATCGTGGCATACAGGTCATTACTGAGGGCAGAAGATGCATGCTATAGCTATTGTTCTGTATAGCTATTATATCAAGCTGTTCTGATTTTGTTTCTTGTTCTTCTAATGAAAAGAATGTATTGCATGTTTGCAATATTTAAGACAATGATCTGCGTTCATGGGTTGGAGCTATTTTATAAAAAAAAAATAAAGTTGGACAGTACTGGCAAAGCATTTAGACTTACTTGATTAAGGTAAACAGATTTCAGAAATGAAATGTCTCACAGCAGGGGCTATTAAATTTAATGATAAAATATTTAAACGTGTGCTTGTCTCTTGCTTTCTAATGGCTTCTTTCTCTAATAGCTGTTATACTTCAATAGAAAATTAGCTCCTTACTCCAGCTAAAAGCATCTTTCAAAATGTGTTGGGAAGCTGTAGCCTAGAGAGCCTCTAATTTTGTTTTCATTACAAGATGAATATTTTTAAAAAGGACCCCCGCCCCAGTGCTTTGGAAATGAATTGCACTTGGAGTTCCACCATCAGATCACAGCATGAAACCAAAATAGGACTAGTGTCCCAGTGTTATAGGTGGAACAGGGAAAATAGGAAATGCTGCCCAGGAAAAGGGAAATATTGTGAGTGGTGGAAACAGAGTCGAGTGCTCTAGGTCAGGAGTGCTCAACCACTGGCCTCTGGCCTGTGGCACCTTGTCATTCAGCCCATCAGGCTCTCTATGGTCTGGAAATTTGGCAGCAGGGGAGCAGTGGCACTGATGCCCTGCATACTGGATCAGGCACCTAGTCTCAGGCCATATGGAAGTGCTGGCCTAATCCTGCTATATAAGACCAGCACCAGGGCCCAATCATAGAAAATGGTAGTTGGAAGGGACTTCAGGAGATCATCTAGTCCAATCCCCAGCTCAAAGCCCCAACTATATCACTATATTTTGTCCCCAGCCCTGATGCTTGGGGCAGGGAGGGGGCAGTTCTAGGTCCAATCTTGACATGCGGAGCTCAATCCAGCACAGACCAGCCCCATGCCACTCACCTAGCCCCTGGGGCCAAAAGCTTGAGTACCACTGCTTTAGAGCAATAGCTAGATCTTTTAGATGAGGCATGACCCATCTTCATAGACCTATTCCACTATCATAAAAGCCCTTTGCATATTGTGGGCACAGAGGCATGGCCTAAAGATACAAGTTACAGAGAACAGCATTCCTGCCTTGGAAGACTCTATTTCTACATCTCTAAACAAGCAGGTTTGTTACACACAATACATTGCCTACAGACTTCAGACCATTTAGGATTTTACTTCAATTTCCTCAAGCTTCACTCAAAGTGCTCCTTGTAATGAGATGTGTGCACATTCAGCATAGATGATTTGTAGGGAGGCAAAAGCTCAGCTGAATGATGTGCAGTATAGTTCCTCATGCAATAACCAATTGGTAAACTAACTCCTGAGCACAAGTACTTTGCATTTTCTGGATGCATTTCCTGATCCTTCTGAGAAATTACAGATTTCATAGACATTAGGGCTGGAAGGGACCTCGAAAGATCATCGAGTCCAGCCCCCCGCCCAAAGGGCAGGAAGTCAGCTGGGGTCAATAGGCCTCATTAGGGCACAGTTATGTTCCAAGAAGAGTGTTGTTTCTTGGGGGCTTAACATATGTAGCACTTGAAGAAGAAAACAATAGTTTAAACTAGGGTGCTTGGACCTTGGCCTCCGGTGCCCTGTCATCCAGCCTGCAGGGCTCCACACAGGTCTGGACATTTGGTGGCAGGCAAATCATGCCACTGTTCTACAAAATTTCTGGACCCATGAGGAGCCCCAGGCCCTGCATGCTGCATCAGGAGCCCAATCCCAGTGCACGGGACTGGGTGGGGGGCAGTGTTGGGCCCCAGGAACTAATCCCCATATGGGAGGCTGGAAGGTGGTGGCACCAGGACTTCAGGGCTGATTCTGGTGTGTGTGGGTGGGAGGGGTGGCACCAATCCCCAGGAAAACTAATCCTGGTGTGTAGGGGAGTTGGAGGGGGTTGATGCCAGTCCCTGGGAACCAATCCCAGCATGTGGGAGTGGGCAGTGTCAGGCCCCCACGGGCTGCTGCTCATGCATGGGGTAGGGCACGGGCCAGTGTCTGGCCCCAGGGCCCGATTCTGGTGGATGGGGTTCGGTTCGGCTTGTGGACTTAGCATTTCGCTTGTGGACTAGCCGCTCACCTGGCCACGAGACCAAAAGATTGAGCATCACTGGCTTAAACAAGCATTTTCTAAATAAGCCTCCCTATTCTGGGCAGTGCCAACAGCTGCAAGAGACACGTATGGGAATGATGCAGTTTTAAGTTAGAAGTACACCATGGCTGAAGGTTGATGTACGCCTCCTCTCTTGCCTGCTCACACAGGGCTTGATCCATAACCCAGCAGACCCATGCACTACCCAATTTTCCACAGAATTTTATACATCTACAACAGTCTATCCAATATATGCCATACAGGTGCCCTCTATATGTCACACTGAAGCCACAATTAACATGTTAGCCATGGCATAAATGGGAAGGGTGCTATGCATGCACCCAATTTAAGGTACTAAAATGGGAAATGAGCCATGTAACTGTTCCATGACTGATTCAGACGGTGTCTTACATACACCACATGACCAGGGGCTGATGGCAGATCATTGCTCCTGGGACCCAGACCACACCAGAGTCTGGAATAGCCCCAAGGGCAATGGTCAGATGCTTGTTAAGCCCATCCCAAGGCTAGGGATAGGGGGTGAAAGCCAAAGGCCTTCCCCCACCAGGGACTTTAAACCCTGTGCCTAGCAGCTCTAGCCAGGCTGCCAGGCAAGGGGGATCAGATGCTTCCAGCAGAAGCCAAAGTGCTTTTCCTCCTGTGACCTTTAAACGCCGGGCTGCTGGGCTCAGCTTGTGCACAGCCAGAGCTAGTGGACCAGGACCAACAGTCAGCAGATTCTCTGTGCTGATAGCCCCACATGAATGAGACCTGGGACTGGCTGAGGTTGGGACCAGCAATCAAGTGACTATCAGCCCTAGTCTCCAGCCAGTCCTAGGTCTGGACCCAGACTGTCTGGCCAGGGCTGGCAGTCAGCTGATTGTTGGCTCCTCACATGGGGCTGTGGCACCTGGCGTGGCATGGCAGGGGGTGCTATTGTTGGAATGGGGGGACCAGATCCCATTGCACCAAATAAATATGTGCTGGAAGCCTCAGACACTGATTTTTTATTTCTCCATCCTCCCCCTTTTCCAAGGAAAGTAAGCAAGCAGAATTTGTTCTTGGGCAATCCCTCAACAATATTTAGGTGCCTGCAAGAGGTTTCTCCCTCTCTGGCATCAGGGCACCAATATGCAGCTGAAGTTGCCCTTTTTTCAGCTGGATGCTTGGGCTCCCCTGACACATTGGTGAGCAAAACTGCTCCCCTTCTGAGATCAGCGAGCTAAAACACTAAATCATCCTTACACAGGGTCATGAAGCTGTACTGCCTTCCTAACAGGAAGGTCTGAACAGAGGAACCTGGATAAATGTCTTTATTTCCACACCACCACCATTGTGGTACCCTGTGTGCATGTCTCTTCTCATTCTTCTGCTCTGTCGAGTCTTTGTGCAGCCAGCTGTTTTAGGATGTGGGCGCTCTCGCTGCCAGTTCTTGGTTCATTGGCTGATTCTCCATCTCTCTTCCCAAAGCAGTATTTCAAGTCCGACTTCTGCCTCTCTTCTTTCTTCTTCTATATGACCATGCCTTATATTTACAGTTTTGCGATCACCTATTCCCTTTCACTCACAATCCTGATTCCCCATCAATCACTTCTGGGGCTAAATCTCCAGGAATGTCCATGTCCATAACTGACCCAGACTTGGATAATGCTTGCTTACAGCCTTTCATTGACATCCCAATACTTACCTGTTACAGCCCTGATCCTGCAACAAATTTGCATGGTCTGAGCTTGGAACCTATGGTAGGGCTCACTGATTTCCATGGGACTCTCCACAGAGAAGAAGGACAAAGTAGGGATACAGAGGCTTACACAGTATTTCTTTTAACATTTAGTTTATTATTTTAGTAAGGAACAAAGAGTAATTTACTGCACAGTTAATACTGAGACCAAGGTACAGCAAAGCAATCAACCAGAAGCTGTGGCGGTGCTTTTAAATAAGTCTTAATAGCCAAGACAAAGGCTTTGGCACAAAGAAAGATGCTTTCTTTTCATTTAGCATCTTTTGTGTGCATGTTTTATTGGAGAAAACACTTAGAAGTGAGCACAATATGAATGTATGTGATTTCTGTGCTACTGATTATGCATGCCCCCCCATGCAGACTGGCTGGATATCTTCCAAGCCACCGGAGCTCTATGTTCCAAGCTTGAAAGCAAGCAGAGGTGCCAAGTTCCAGATTTTGCTTTCTTCTGGAAAGCGACTATGCAGTACCATATAGTTTTACAGTACCTGCAATCATCTGCAACACAGCTGTCCAACTTGGAAGCTGCAAATAATATTAAGGTTGGCTTGTCTGGTTTTCATTAGAATAACGTATACTGAAGCAAAGGAAAATAATATTTTATCAAAACATCGTCATCGTCTTAAAAGCAGAATCTTTTATAGGCAGATTCAACCATGGCCAAAGTGATGCTACCCTTTGTAGTCAGCTATAAGGGAAAACTTGAGGGGAAATACAAAGTGTAAAAACCACTGCACAACTCCTTTCAGGGTGCTCAATACTGCTTATTAATTGTCTGCAATGACTGGTCATGCACCACAAGAAACACTTCTTCCCAACCTCCCAAGGCTTTAGGTGATTTGTTGGCAGTGATCACAGACCTCAATGGCCACAGAAACAGGGACTGGAGTCAAACTTAGGTTGTTAATATGGCAGTGAAACACTCCACTAGCAGGAAACAAACCCGCCCCCTTAAGAAGGTAATTAACGTTTTCTCTTCTTTAATTTTTCCTTCTCCTCATTAGTGTTTTCAAGCTTGGCAACTGTCCACAATCTACAACTGATTTGAGTAATAACTTGTCCAACCAGAACCAGGCTTCTAGTTATCTACCCCATATGTTTACCAGGCTGTCTTACAAGAACAAGCAGTCCATTATTTTCCATCCAGAAATTAGGTATCTCAGCACAGCATGAAACCAGTGGCAAATAGGCTGGCAAGCTCCTGACAAGAACTCCTCAGGGGAATTCTGCTCTTTCACTGGTCCTTTCTCTTTTCAAACTTATGAACCACATGAAACGCCTCTAAAAATTCATTGAAATCAATGCTGCCATCTTTGTTGAAGTCTATGGCATGGGCGAGCTTGTTAATGGCTTCATCATCTATGTTGATGTTCAGATGAGAGCTAAAGAACCTCCATGTTTGGCGAAACTCCTCAATGGAGATCAGACCTGCAAAAAATAGATGAAAGTAAAGGTGCTCAGCACAGCTCACCCCATCTCTACTCAAAAAGCTACCTACCTGCCACTAACTCAATGTATTTGCTGTTTGATGGCTGCAATGCACACATTGCTTTTGCATCAGATCAGAGGAGGGGGAATGTGATGAAAAACGCATAACCAAAAAATGGTGAATCTACCTCTGGGGATGGGGATTACACACAAGCATCTTGTGGGTTTGGGCTACACTCTGGCCCTTACGCAGGACACAGTCTGTGTGCTTAACTATGTTTTAAATAAACCAGAAAATTAACGCCATGTTTGGTTCTCATGTACTTGGAAGGCTAAGAGGGAGGGGGAAAAATAAAGCCAAAACTTAGAGTGCAATAATTAACAGACCTGCAGTCATTAGGAAGCAGTTATTCTGAAGTACCTGAACGATCTTTGTCAATGATGTTGAAGATTATCTCCAAATCATTTCTGTATCTGCAAAAGGTTTCCACCAATGCTGGTTGAACCTAGTTTGGAAATTGCAAAACATAGATCATACCTCAGTATAAGTTAGTCTAATGAGCAGGACACACAAGACAAATTAGAGCACCAGTACACAATGTGATCATTATTAACTTATTGAAGTATTCCATTTTCCAAGCAGAGATTCCAATGTGTGATTTCCACCCCTTCAGTAGCTCTCCCCTGAACAAAGTATAGCCTGAGTCCAACTCCACTTTTAGATGTGTAAATAGCACTTACATGGCTCATTTTTAAGTGGTGTTTTAGGCCACTTAGATTTTAGATGGTGCTTCCTACTGGAAAAGCACGTAACTCCATATACTTCAACAACAACAAAAAATCAAGGAGGGTACCTAGCTCTTAACCCAACAGCCTAGTTGTTACGGCACTTGCCATGGGAGTGCGAGCCAGGCCCATCTTATGATTGAACCTTTCTCTCTCACTTTCCAGCATAGTTTGCCAAGGCATTCACCCCTCCTCTAAGCTGTCCTATTGAGCTGTCAACAGGGGAAGTCATGGGATACCAGAAAAAGAGCAAACTAGAGGGATTGTGGCTCAGTGGGGCAGCTTCAAGAGGAGAGCTAGAAGGTGACTAGCCCAGGGCACATTCCTGGGAAGCGGGAGATGGAGGTTCAAAATGTTTCTGGATAAGAGAGTAGAACCTGGGTCTCCCACTCTCTGGACAATGCCCTAGCTGCCAGGATAGCAGGACAAAAGGTGGAAGGGCCTCTGCCTCCCTCTCATGGTTTTCCTGGGACTAATATGTCTGGGTCTTGCATAGAACTTATGTCCCAACCTGGGTGGAACAGAATCACAACAGAGTGTAAATGGCCACACCTGGTGAGTTGTGCAAGGGGAAACAGGATCAAAAATGGATATAGCTGGTTTAAAACATCACTTATGTGGTGAAAGTTTGTTGCATGATACATACTTGCTAAATAGGAAGTTGGATATGGGCCTATGAGGCTCTCAGTTCCAGGATACCTAACAGCTGGGTGGGTAAGATGCCCCATGGGATGCGTCTTTCACATCTGCTATCAGTCATAATTTGTGAACAAACTAATAAAATTTTGACAGCGCTTGCACATTACAAACATACTCATCTTAGAACTGAACTTTGCATGCCAGAACAGTTCCTCTCTCCTCACCTTCTTAAACAAAGTGAGAAACAACTAAGTGCCAGACTTCTAAAATATGCTTAGCACTCAAGAGCTCCCCTTTTCTCACTTTTTGGAACACACAAGATTTTAGAAGAGCTCAGCTTGCATTTAGGCGTCTCAAAGCATTTCTGAGGCACTGACTCTCTCATTTCTCAGACCAGAATGGGAATGGAGCTCTTCCAAAAACCTGGCCCCACATGTGGGTGCTACATGCTTTACAAAAAAAATTTCGTCTAAGTCTCCGGTCTCAAAAGCCACAGAGCTGAACCCTTTCCTCTTTACCTCTTTCAGAGGTCGCTCTATTTCCAAATCATCGAAACATGAAAGATAGTCAACACTTTCATCTGAGCCAAGCTGCACCAATTGAGAGCGCAGTGTCCTCCAAGGGAGATCCAGATGCAAGACAGATTCCATTGCCAAGGCCCACTCACCGACAGAAATATACCCTGTCAAAGTGGACCACATGTACAGTTATAAATTATACGTGCCTCCTACTAGCACATCTCTGTTGTTTTTAAAAGGGCTATAACAATGTCTCAAATACGGATGTCAAACTCAAAGTGGCCTGTGGGCCATATTCCCTGCTTTGTTGCCTGCAGGCCAAACCCATTCGGTGGAGGTGGACTCTGCCTGCCACTGCACCACGGTTGCTAGAGGTCCAGCACTTTCTGAGGCTCCAGCAGCTACAATGAGAAGCCCTGCCACCGCAGCCAAGGTTGCTGCAGTGGGAGCAGGTGTCAGAGTGGTTCCCACCACAGCCACAGCTCACCCTCATTGCCAAGCGCCACTGATTCCCAAAGTCACTGGCTGGTGAAGGCTGAAGTTGGCACCACTCCAATACCTCCCTCCAGGGGTGGATCAAGAGCAGATGCAGTGGTACCACTGCACTCCCCTGTTTCTGACCATGGGGCAAGATCAGCAGCCTGGACAATTTTACATCCCAAAGGAGGTAAGAACTCCCCCTTCTCCTCCAGGTTCAGAGGCACATCCCCTTCACTCCCCTCCCATTCCTCTCTTTCCCACCTGCCACTGCTGAAACCCAGCTGTTGCCTGGAGTGAGGGAAGTTCATGTCCTCACCTAAAAGAAAGAACGTCCCTGAGCCAGGGATATTCTTCAGATTGCATCAGCTAAGGAAACTGCTCAGTGGTTGCAAGTTGTGATAAATTAAACAGTCTTACAAACCACCAGTATTAATTTCTAACTCCTATCCTATACTTAAACTGCATCTCCATGATACTGTGAAGAAACTGAAGAAAATGCACCAGTCTCTGATAATTTAATCCCAACAGGAAAAAATCCTTGTCCCCTATGCAGGAAAGAAGTCAGTATACTGAAAAGCATGGCTTTTGTGATACAAACATGTGGAGGGTCAGTAGGGCAGTTATAGAACCCGAGAGGCTCAAAAAGAACTGGTCAAAGCTTTCAATTAGATTAATGGGGAATGTGGGGGGGGAGGGGCTAATCAGCTCCCATCACTAGGCACATCTACACAAGACACATTACTGCACAGTAGAGCAAATTGCTGCATAGTAAGCATCACTGTCTACATTTGCAGATCCTTACTGCACAGTAATTTGCTCTACTCAGCAGTTAATTTGCTACTTGCAAATGCAAGTAGCAAATTAACTACCGAGTAGTTTTCTTTCATATGACATTTTAAGATTACAACTTTCATAGATGAATATCTAAGTTTGATAACTGCCTGACTGCTTCAGGGGTAGCTGCACAAATTGGTTTAGTTACTGCACAGTAAGGCAAATGTAGATAGCCAACGGGGACAAAATTTGCTCCCAGTCAGCTGGCCAGCAGGGAGTGGGAGATTGCTCCCTGCCCCTGGGACTTGCCTCCTGTCAGGGTGGGCTACACTACTGAAGCCTGGGCTGAGACAATATCCCCCTGCCCTGGCAGCAGGGATCTCCTGGCCCTGGCTCCATGATTGCTTCCTGCTGCCGGGGCAGGGAATCCCCACCCTGCTGGGGGCTCACTGCTAGGTGCCCCACTGGTGGATCAGGGCAAGGGACCAGGACCTGCCCCTCCCCCACTGCTCCGAGGGGAGCTAAACCTGGCTGCGGTAGGGGGGGCAGAGCAGGGTGGGAACAAATCTGCTCCCAAATTTGTGCACATGTAGATGCTGGCCCAGGGTGGGTTTACTCCAGTGTAAAATACTCCAGAGTAAACACATCCAGCAGCATTTGCATATGTAGATGCACCCACTGTTAAGATGAAGGCTGAGACCCCTTCTAAGGTGAAGGACCCTTCTTTTTGAATTCCCCAGGTTATGCTCCTCCCTTCTTTGCAGGTGGCTTGTCACCCACTCTGATTTGATCAAATACCCTATCAAGGAGAATGAAATGTGGTATTACCTGTATCATTGGGGTCGTATTGTTTGAAAGTTTCAGTGAGTTCTAATTTATGCATGTAAATTTTCTCTCTTAGTGACTTTAAGGCAGAACATTCAACTACACTCACCCTGAGAAGAAAATAACAATAGGCAGTTAAAGAGATGAAATTCTCAAGATCTCTAAAATTTTCTACACAAGGTATGCATAAGCAAGCCTCTGTATCAACTAATATTTTAGATCGTCAGAGTCTTGATATAAGCCCTCCTAAAAAGTGATACTTCAAAACCAAAAGAAATCTTTGAATTCATATGATGCTCAGATAATGGTAAGCCTTACACAGACAAGTCAAGTCCTTTCTACCAGTAAAACAAACCAGAAGGCCCCAAGAGTGGCAGAACTGTGACAATGAACTTCTTGGCCCTGATGCACAATTAAGTTTCTAATTTTAGACACAGCCATTAAACCAGTCTAAAAAGGGAGCCATACAGTGGTGACTCAAATCTTTTATAGGGCATAGGGACATAGGACTGGAAAGGATCTCCTGGTTTTGAGTCCAGTGCCGTGGTCTCATAGGCAACCAGGTCATTTATGCAGCAAGCTCCATCTTAAAATAATTAGGTGTTTTGCCTCCACCAGTCTTTGCAGAAGGCTCTTCCAGAACCTCACTGCTCTGAAGATTTCTAAGCATCAGGTTTTATAGCCAGTTTATACCTATTTGCTTTTGTCTTGCACATTTGCTGTCTTGTACAAGTCAAACCATTACATCCTCTTATAACATTACAGATAACTCTTAAAAAAAACAAAGTAGAGCTGTTGGAAATCACTTAACATGTTTAATTAAAAGCAATCAAAAGATTTAATTAAAAATGAAAAGAAAAACCAGTAAAATAAATGGCTGTATAATTACAGTGAAGTTGTTTGTGTCTAATATGAAAAATTAACAGACGAGGTTCTATGGCTAAATGTAATATCTTTTATTAGACCAACTGAATAGTTGGAAAAATTGTTCTTTGCAAGCTTTTGGGCACAAACACCCTTCTTCCGGTATACTACTACCTACACCTGAAGAAGGGTGTTTGTGCCCAAAAGCTTGCAAAGAACAATTTTTCCAACTATTCAATTAGTCTAATAAAAAATATCACGTTTAGCCAAAGAACCTTCTTTGTCTATGTCCTTAGACCTATACAGCTACCACCAAAAACACTATATGAAAAACGGATGCATTCTGTGTAAATTCCTGCTCAACCACTACAAATGTGACCAGTATGAGTTTTCCTTACTGTACCTTTGGTTAAGCGTCTCTTTGCGTGTGTGTTTACTGACTTGATACTGTACAAAGCGAGGTATCAGATCAGGATTCAACTTGATGTAAGCACCACGATTGCTTCCCTCTTCATAGTAGTTAGAGGCAGAAAAAATAGTGATGACCTGATTTTATAAAAGAAAGAAATTGATGGAGTTGGTTAAAGCAGTTCCTTTTTGCATAGAAACATGAAACTGACCTTAAAAAAATTGAGGCAGTCCTAAGATCTGTTAAACCTAGTTTAAAGTTACATTAAATAAGTAACTATCTATCATTCAGTTTAAAATAAGCAGCACCAATTCTGAAATTGCTTGGGTCCACTGAGTCTGAGGCATCAGAACTACATTTTCAATTTGTCCCATCAAGTCTTCGGAATAACACTTTCTCACACTCATCACAAGGGCAACATTTCCCTGCAGGCTAAATCATGGCTTTTAGTCTCCTTTCCATGCTTCTAGCTGTGCACGTCAGAGAGAGAAGCCCAAAAAGAAAAATGAAATTATTCAGAGAAGTTAGCATCATAAATGTATCGTACGTATCTGAATTAACATATATATCGTTAACCCCTCCCTTTTCCCATGAAGGAAACAGGGTTAAAGTTGGAGCAGTTTTGCCACATCTGTATCACAAAAGAATCATGCAGATATAACATTTGCCATAAGAATTTGCATCAACACCCACTGATATCAATCCATCTATATTCTCAGTTACTTCTTTAAAGCAACCCTATCTATTTACAAAAAATGTACAGAGGCTTGTTTCCTCAAATGTAGAAGGAAGCAAACAAAAGAATATAGTTCCTTTGCTCACAACTCCAAACTTCTTTCAACCAGCTCTTAACACCCCTCTCCCCTCCATCCCCCTTTCTCTCATTTGGGTTGCCAGGACTGTCGTGGTTGCTTGTTGCTTTGCTGTTTTCCTTGTCTCTCTTGCCGCCTCCTCTCTCACACACACTTCTACTAAAAGCAATACAGAGAAAGCACCTCTATCTGTATAGTTATGCACTACTACTTCTATGTGCCTGTGTTTTGATTGTTTCAACTACCTGGCTTCAGAAAGCAGCTTAATGTCTCCCTATACAATCTTAAATGAAAGGCTGTGATTACCTTCCCCCTCCACTCACTTCATTTAATGATACAGGGTGAATCTACATGAGATGCTATGTTGCTGTACCGACGAGCTACGGTGAGGTAGCTCGTCACTAGGGCAACGTAGTGTTGGCGGGTATGAACCATTACACTGACACTACTGCACAGTAGCTATGAGCTACTGCACAACAGCTCATTGCTACTGTGCAATAGCATCAGAAACAACCTGTGCAGTGCTGGGACTGTGCACTAAAGGCAGTTACTGAGCAGTCATTTACTACTTGTTTGAGCAAAAACTAAATGACTGTGCAGTAACAACTGCACAGTCTGGTGCATGTGTAGATGCACCCACAGTGGGTCTTGATTTTTTTCCATAGAGGAAAGACAGCCTAATCTTTGATAAATAGGCTGCAAACCTAGGTGATAATGTATAAAACACAAGATAAACTTTCTTTAAAGTTTAAAAAAGATAACTGGAATTTTAAATTTGAACAAACAACAGGGCATAACTCAAAGGTATACCTTTTATCAACATTTTACTAAAGCTGAGGCAAAATAAGAATTAAGACCTAAAGTATTGCTCATATTCTCCCCCTAATCTAGTGGTTCAACTCCATTGGCTTTTGCTACTGACATTTTCCGGTGCGCATGAAGACAAAGCTCTGAAGCACTACCAGCAAGCTCTATAAGGTTTCTATAACAATGTACTGATTCCATGAATCTGTGCACTTTGAAGAAAGCTAATTGTTCCAAGACACTGAGAAAGACTTGTTTTGTTTTGTTTTGTTTTGTTTTTAAATGCACTTTAGTTTAAAAAAAAGGTTGGCATGACTCATATAAAGAATTTTAGTTAATTAAAAGCACAGATAAGTATGGTACTATTCTTGCTGTCATTACCAAATTGCCTCTTGATGTTGAGGAGAATATTTTACATGTAACAACTATCAAATTGTAACACATGCAAATATCACATATTCCCTCATACTCATTTTATGAAGTTGCTCTTTTTTTCTGATCAACTTTGCTGACCAGTTTGAAGTTACTAGCCTGGATTTTTCTGTGAAATGCATGCCAGAATTTTACTTTACACACAAGGATCTTACCTTCCCTCCATGGATGACCTCATAACCTTCTTGTTTACATTCATGAGATCTGATGAGCATCTTCAGATTATACTTTTTAAGCAGTCTGGAAGTAACATCAGGGCCAAAGTAGCAACCAGCTCCTCGATATTTGTTTGATGTGCAGCCCTTTTGGGTTTTTGGATCACTCCACAAAATATCAACCACCTGGAAATAGCAAACCAAAGCAACCAAAATCTACTGAGTTGAACTTTTAAATTTGCATCACACAAACACATTTCAGAAACATATAAAGGAAACATACTTTTCCTTGTTTTGCTTTGGAGAGCTCACATTTCAAAACTACTTCTACACACCAGGGCTAAGTACAAAAAGTCATAGTTTCACAGTTTCTAGGGTTGAAAGGGACCTGAACAGATCATCAAGTCCAACCCCCTGCCCTGGGCAGGAACGAGTGCTGGGATCATAATACCCCAGCCAGATATCTATCCAACCTCCTCTTGAAGACCCCCAAGGTAGGGGAGAGCACCACCTCCCTTGGGAGCCCATTCCAGAGCATGGCAGCCCTAACCGTAAAGTGATGCCTCCTGATATCAAGCTTGAACCTACTCTCAATCAATTTGTGGCCCTTATTCCTTGTTATCCCAGGTGGTGCCTGGGGGAACAGAGCCTCACCTATTTTCTGCTGGTCCCCCCTGGTGAGTTTATAGATGGCCACCAGATCAGTTTTCTCTTGTGGAGGCTGAATAGATTTAGGCCCTTTAGCCTATCTTCGTAGGGCGTGGCCTGCTGCCCCTGACTGTGCGAGTGGGCCTCCTCTGGACCCTCTCAAGGTTAGCCACATCCCTCTTGAAGTGCGACACCCAGAACTGGATGTAGTACTCCAACTGTGGCCTGACCAGCACCACATAGGGGGAAAGGATCACCTTCCTGGACCTGTGTGTGATGCATCTGTAGATGCACAACAAGGTGTGGTTAGCCTAACTGAGGTAAGTCAAAAAGCCAGAGGCTGAACTGATTCAGTCTTTGCAGGTTAGTCTAAACTGCACAGATTGAACCAATAAGCAAGTGAACAGACATTCACTCCTGATTCTGGAAATGCAGCCACATGCCTGCAGTGGTCCAGGCCAGAAACTGGGGGTGTCAGAGCATGCTTCCCAGCCACTGCAAAAGGGAAGGGAGGAGACAAGACCTCCAAGGCTTTCCTCCTGCCTCCCTGCTCGAATGGAGGCAGCATGGCCAGGCCCCAGCAGCCTAGGGTCAGCATGCTGAGGCCAGGGGGATGGGAGCTTTAAACCCCCTTCCTTGGCCTATATGGGACCCCAGCCCAGATCTATGGGTGGGGCGCCCCTACCAGGCTTATCCCCCACTCCCCACTCCTGCCCCAGGCCACCATCCCGGGAGGGCAGTAGAGGTTAAATCCCATCTCTGGCCCATGAAGAACCCCAGCTGGGTTCTGCCCAGTGAGGTGGGGGGCAACCCCTGCCAGGCTTTTGCTCCTTTGCTCCCTGCTGGATTGCCAGCCTGGACCATGTCTGGCCATGCCCCCCACCTCTGCCAGGCTTTTGTCCTGCTGCTCCCTGCTGGGGGGCAGTCCCTACCAGGCTTTTGCCCTCCTCACCCCCTCCCTCCCCCCCAGCAAAAGCAAAGAGTGGGAAGGACATGGCCACACCCCAGCCTGGGGTGTGCCTGAGGCAGGGGGGAGCAGCCCCTGCCAGGCTTTTGCCCCTGCATTGCTAATCATTCCAGTGGGGGGGGGGGGGGGAGAGCACGGCCACACCCTGGACTGGGGTTCACATGCTTAGGCAGGGAAGGAGTGGGGTTTCAACCCCACTTCAGCATGCCAGCCATGGGCCCAGGCATAGCCACATCCCCCACCCCTGCTCTCCACTCAAGAGATGGAGAAAACCCCAGCAAGGGCTGCCCTCTCCCCCTCTTGAGCAGGAAGGCAGCATCATGGCAGGAGGTACCCCTTCCTCCAGGGCAAATCCTAACCAGGGTCTGCCTGGCAGGAGTGAAGGAACCCCCACCTGGCCTTGCCCATGCTCCTCACAGGGGCATGGCCAGACGCTGGTCAGGCCAGCAAACTGAGGCATGTGGAGGCGGGTTTAAACTCCCCTCCCTCCCCTCCAGTTCAGCATGCCAGCCTGTCTAGCATTTGGCTATGCCCCATGCCCTTTCGCTTGAGCAGGGAGCAGAAAAGCCAAGCAGGAGCTGCTTTGCCACTGCCAGGCAGACCCTGGCTGGGATCTCTTGTGGCTAGGGGCAGGGGAGGATTGAGACCCTCCTTCCCCTCTGCCTCTTTGTGCCAGCCTTGCTGGTGTCTGGACATGCCCCCTGCCTCTCCACTTGAACAGAGACCATGAGAAAAGACTGTGAGTGGCTGCTCCACCACTGCAAGGCAGACCTTGGCTGAGGTTTAGAGCCAGGTTTCCCACCCCCTTCTCAGCCAGCCAGAGCAGTGATAGTGCTCTGGCTAGGGAGCAGACTGGTGGGCCCAACTCTGCTCTGCAGAAGCAGACAGCGCCACAGGGCTACAAAGCATCCTGGGATGCTGGGGGACTGTGAGTTAACTGGGAAGGGGTCTGCAACTTATATTAATAATGAGCCGTAATCAGTGCTACTGCACATTAGCGCAAACGAACAATCTTTTTGTGATGTTAATGCACAGTAGACTAAACCTACTGCGCATTAGCATGGGTTTTGCTCACTGTGCTAATGCACAGTAGAATTAGTCTACTGCACTCAATACATCTCGTGTAGATGCACCCACTAATGACTTAATCTTGCCTTTTGGAAAACAAGCCAAAAATAGGAGAAAGAACCTACAAAGTCTCTTCTCCCTGAGCTACTTGTAGGGCAGATACCAACTCTGAGGAACTGGTTCAACTTAGCATCCAGTATGCTAGTGTATATTTTGCAGTCAGATGATGGGTACATCATATCACTGATGCCTACTGTAGCCCACTAAACTAACAAGATGTGTTGCACCACTAGATCCTAACCACATAAAATCAACTGGATGCATTAGATACTGAAGAGTATTCTTAAAATGGACTGGAATGCTTGATACTTGGAAGGACAGAATAAATATAAACTCACAAGTCTTTCATTAATAGGGATAAAAAATGGTTATGCATCTGAATAACCACTGGCTGAAAATAGATTCAGTCACAGTTAAAATACCTTGACTGTCCTGAACAATGTGTTTGTCACTGAAAGCCCACTTCAGAATCAAACCACTTGCTTGCACAAAATAAATTCCATTTTATAACTAAACTTAAAGTCTATTCCTGGTTCCACATACTTGTTTCCATTCCTTTGCCGTCAATTCTGGCAGCTTACAAGCACTGGACTCCAGATAGTGCATCTGAGAGGGAAGGTCAGAGCGGGTACCACCATGAAGCCGGCGAGTACGTTCCTCAGCATCTGAGCGGTCATTGGTGTGTGGTCCTCTATAGCCAGACATTGCTGGAGACTTGGCCATTCGCTTCGATATAGAGGAATGCTGCTCAACCAAGCCAGTTTTGTTCAAGCTGGATTTTTTCTCTGTGTGTGGCTTTGGTGGTTTCAGTACAGACTTCATCTGAAACAAAAACAGACTTATCATTGCATCTTTAATGGCACATACTGAAATTCAGAAAGGTCAGTAAAACACATATCATGTTCCCATAACTTTACACAGCATTTAAGTGTAGTGATGGCTCTAGCTTCTTCAACATGGAATGGATAGCAGACACTGACACTCGCCATTAATTATTCCCAAGACTGCATTTACTCGTGAGTAATCAGTGATGCTCAAAGGTTGTTACACTATCTCCATTTTCTCTTTCTGAGGATTTCTACAAGAGTTCCCATATTACTTTAATACAAATGTGTCTTTATTTAGTAAAGAAACAGAAAACAGATTCTCCTATATTTTTCTTCCATGAAACCTAGACATCTAAGTAGAGGATATCTTCCCCCACTATCTTGAACAATATCTGAAGAGATATCACATGGATTTAACAATATGAGTAGATCTTTGTGGGGGCTGCCCAGCACAGTCTAGAATGTGGCTTACAAATTAAACTACTTCAATATTCTCCTGTGAAAATGACTTCACCAGGTTAATCAGACACTGCATAATGTTTCACAAGCAGCAGGCCAAACACAGAGTTGATATAAGTATCTATCCCTGATTTCAGTGTGAGCTCAACCCTGCTTAAATTCCGAGCCGAATCTGACCAACTGCTGAGCTTGTTTGTTTGTTTGGTTTTTGTTGTTCTGTTGTGTTTGTCTGGGGGGGAGGGGGGTTGGGGGGGGCATGGACATTGTGGGACATCAGCTTGTCGGGGGTGATCCTGACTGAACTACAGGTCTTTACACTCATATGGAGTCTCAAGGAAGTTAAGCAGAGCCCTCACAAGTGAAGGGGCCTGCCCACACAGATCAGATTGTAGGATCATAGCTATAGCACATATTTCTCCGCACAGAAAGTTGAACTTCACTGAAAAAATAAATTCACAAACTAAACTGATTTCCTGATTGCTTTGAAACTTCTGAGAGTTGTTAACTTTTATATTTTCTAGGATAACACAGTCTTACAACAGGGTGAATCAGATCCACAGCTGGCACAAGCTGGTATAACTTCCTTGAGTTCAATTTATCTACACTGATTTATAACAACTAAGTACTGGGCTCAAAATTTCCACTGATACCATATCCATTCTAAACATGTTTTAAGAAATCACTGGCACTCTTTTCCTCTCTTGATCTCTCTAGATTGGTGGTGCTCAACCTTTCAGCCCTGCAGGTCAGATGAGTGGCTTGGGGTCCATCTGTGACCCAAACTAGGCCCTGGGAGCCTGGCACCAAACACTCCCACTCCCTGAGTACTGGGATTGGGGCCTGGTGGCCTGGTACTGCCCCCTCCTGTCCCTCATGCACCCTCTTCCGCTCCCCATCGTGCTCTGGGATTGGGTCCTGGGGGGGCCAGCACTGCCCCTTCCCACCATGATTGGATGCTGAGGGCTCAGTACCACCCCCTCTGGCCATATGTACTGGGATTGGGTGCCAGATCCAGCATGGAAGGCCCAGGGCTCCCCATGGGTCCAGAGATTTGCAACAGGGGAGCCACTGCTCCCCTGCTGCCAAGTTTCCAGACCCCTGGGGAGCCCCACGGGCCAGGTTACACAGCATCACAGGCCAAATCTGGCCTGCAGGCCAGAGGCTGAGCATCTCTGCTCTAGACCTACAACATTCTTAGACAACAATACTTAGTCTTTTTACTTATAAATTATTTAAACAAAATAAAATAATGCTATCTTACCTTATTTCTGCTAAACAAATTTAGGAGATCCAAATCTGTAGTGTCTGAAATCCCTCCATGCAAGATTAATACTTTGCTGTCAATTATAGTAGCAAGGGGAAGCCAGCTAAAGACGTCTTCCAGAAGGTGTAAAATTTTTTGCCCATGGTACTGTAAAATAGATTATTGTGTTAGATGCCATTCCTGAGAACCTCCAAAGCTAGTCACAGCAAGTATAAAGTAAAGAAGTATCTCTGGGTTCATCCTGTGGTTGGGGCTTCAATATTCTGGGGGAACAATTCTACACACTGATGTAACCTCAAAAATATTTTGTTATTTACGCTCAGAAACTTACATTAAATACTGCTTGATTCTGAGTTGATCAATTCTCTGCTCTGTGTGAGTGTGTGTGTGTTGTATTTTCTACAAACTTCACTTCATAAATGTACTGGATGTAAAAAATCATGGACTAAATAGAGACATTGGATTTCTGGCACATTATAACCTGCCTGACATCTGATAACCCCAGGTAACTTGTCTGCATTTTACAAGCTACATTCTTCTATCACCAGTTCAACATCCCCCTCTTCTCCCTCCTTACCCCCTTCCTGCCTCACACCTATTGTCTTCCACTCCTCTGACCTTCACTTCCAGGCACTTAAATTTTCACAGACCTGCATTTTGGCTTCTATTCTATTGGAGAGCACACAATTCACCAGCAGACTCTCCATATGCCTGAAGAAGTGTGTTTGTGCCTGAAAGCTTGCAAAGAACAATATTGCCAACTATTTAGTTGATCTAATAAAAGATACTACATTTACCCAAAAAACCTTGTCTGCCTATGTCCTTAGACCAACACAGCTACAACCAACAACCCTGTTGTATTTTCTGGTATTTGTTGTATGGCTTTATAAGTTTTTATGATTACTCTTCTTGCTTCCCTGAGTATAATATTCTATTCTCACTTAGACTGGTATGAATACAAAATAATTTCTTTTACCTAGATGGAACTACTCTGTTTCTAGCTCTTTGTAACTGTGAGCTAGTCTTGTAGTTAACATAGGATTTGTAAATGCCAGAAAAAAATTGAAGGGGAGAAAATATCTTACCCGATACTTCTTCATCACTTCTTTTGTGAAGCCATATCTGAAAACAGTGACAGCATCATGAAATGGCTTTCGGACTGCCTGTTTTGCGCTATAACTTTGCAATAATTCATATAAGTCATGTGAAACCTTACATCTATAGAAATCTATTAGCAACACATTCTGTATAAAACTCCAATGATATGCTGTGGGTGAAGATGCACGCACATTTTGATCCATTTAAAAGGGGACTACTTCAAGAGGGCAGTAGCTATTACTAATTGCAACACATGAACCATCTGGGAATGATACAAACTTAGCAAAACTGTTGCAATTTTAAACCTGAATGAAGTATTGAAGTTGAAGCAGGTGTTGTTACATTTCCTGCTCCTTAACAGATAGCAATTAGAATGTCACAGCTGCTGCTCTTTGGAAACATTCCCCTTTTGAAAGGCTCCAAATATCTGTGTCCACACCCTGTGGGGATGCTCAAGAATTCTCCATCTCCTTTTTCCTGCTCAATTCCTTAGTGGCCAGACCTTTTACCAAACTAATTGTACTCATGAACATACTTTCCGCTGCTCTCACTGGCAACATGTAGGGGGTGCGCCCCCTGAGATCGGCCTTGCACCCCCTGGAAGTGCCAGACGTGAAACTGGAAGTGCCTCCGTGCTCAGAAGCACATTCCCCCATCTGCCACTGCTGCCTTCTCCACTCTCCCAGGGCTGGGAGGATCTTCAGAGCTCCCTGCCTGCTCCAGCTGCGCTGTGTGAGGGCTAGGCTTACCTAGGGCAGTGACAGTGGCAGCAGCTTCTCACACCTGCTCCTGAATGGGAAAGGCAGTATGGGAGAGCCCAGCCCCTCCCCTCTGCCACTGCTGCTGTTCCCAGTTAGGCCCAGTCCCTGCACAGCCCAGCTGGAGGGTGAAGAAGCAGCTCTGAAACTTCCCTTGCCCCTGGGTCAGCAGGAAAAGCAGCAGTGCCTGGAGGAGAAGATGGGAGGAGGTACAGACATGCCTGTAAGCATGCAGGGGAAGGCCAGAATACTTACGTGTTTCAGGGACTTTAAAAAGTCCCCAGAGGCTCCTGCAGTATGGTCTGCCTACACTGGTGGGTTAGCAGGGGGGGGAGAAGCCTGGAAAGCAGGGGTACAACAACTCATGCAATGTGGGTGGCTGCTCCCGCATCCCCCTTTGCCAAACCCTGGATCTGCCCCTGGCTACAGGACTTGAAAGTCAGTGGGAACTGCAGTCCTAGACAAACTGACTGTGTCTGATCCCCTATTCATTTTAATACCATGGCAGCTTCACTGGCATCTCCCTGGTTTCAAAGCTTGATTGAAAGCCCCATTTCTGTCAGTTTTCAAATCTGCTAGTACATGATGCAGTCATACAGAACACTTCACCAATTAGGAGGAATGTGCAAGGGTTATCTTTACTCATTGCCTCATTGACAGATTACACTTTTTCACTACAAATCTGGTTAATACAAATGTCCTCCATGTGTTAATTAAATGTTTTTTAAAGTAATGCTGGAAAAAGAATTATCACTGTGCAACACAGGGATCCACTCACATGAATCATCAACAGGGTCTGAGCCACTGGTCTCAGAATGTCAGTGTAAACATCTAGCACTTGCATTTGTTGTGAAGGGCTAATGGCATACTGGGTTGCATTAGTAGAAGCATTCCCAGCAGAGTGAGGGAAGTGATTATTCCTCTCTATTTGGCATTGGTGAGGCTGCATCTGGAGTACTGTGTCCAGTTTTAGGCCTGCTACTACAAAAAGGATGTGGACAAGTTGCAGAGCATCCAATGGAGGACAAAGAAAATGGATAGAGGGCTCGGACACATGACTTCTGAGGAGAGGTTGATGCAACCGGGTTTATTCAGACTGGAGAAGAGAAGAGAAGACTGAGAGGGGATTTCTTTGCAGCCTTCAAGCCTTCAACTACCTGAAGGGAGGTCTGGAAGAGGATGGAGTTAGACTGTTCTATGTGGTGGCAGATAACAGAACAAGGAGCAATGGTCTCAAGTTGCAGCAGGGGAAGTTTAGGTTAAATATTAGGAAAAACTTTCTCACTAGGAGCATAGTAAAGCACTGGAACAGGTTACCTAGCGAGGTGGTGGAATCTCCCTCTTTGGAGGTTTTTAAGATCCAACTAGACAAAGCCTTGACTGGGGTATTATAGTGGGGATGGTCCTCCTTTGAGAAGGGGGTTGGACTAGATGCCCTCCTGAGTTTCCTTCCAACCCTAATTTTCTATGATTCAATGATTCCAAGCACTAGAAAAGCACACAACATATATCTTACCACATGCTTATCCAACATTTGTTAGACAGCATTAGAATAATATCGATCAGGATGCCCAACAAAATGATGGCTTCTGTAAAGAGAAACTAGCTTCATCATAACTTTATCAAACCATCTAAAAGGTTTTAAAAACTATTGAACAGTTTCATAGAAAAAGATCACAAGAAAATGTTACCTCAGGTTTATGAGATGGTCCTCATGGTTCCCTCTGTTCAAGTGTAAATCATTAGGGTAGACAAGAAGAAATGCAAACAGGATGATGAGTATTTCCATGGAATTTTTCCCTCTATCAACAAAATCACCATTAAAAAGGTAAGGGTTTTGTTCTGAAGGCACGCCATTCTGCAGAAAGAAACGAAACAATGCTGTTTGCCAGTTTAGGCATAACTGAAAATTAATTTCTGAATAGGAATTCTTGGGTCTTTGAGACTGTAAGTTTTGTCATGCTTTTTCTTGGTGGTCATGGGGTAAAGGAAATGATATTGTAAATTAAATGGATTATATTGCTGGACAATCTGCACAAAAAATTAACTTGAAAAAATAACACTATTATATTTTCTCTCTTCCATTTAGTACAAAGTTTTCATAGAATTGTTTTTTGCATTGCTGGTAGTCTGCCAAGCACTTGCTAGTGATGCAGTGTGGCCATCTGGTCACATGCTGCTATCTCTAATCTTTGCTTCCATTGCCAAATCATCATCAGCAATCAGTACATTACTCTTCCAATATAATACCATCTCTCCATAAAAGTTATCACTTCAGTGAACTAATGGAAAGGAAATCTAAGTATTCTGAATGGGAGGTGAAGAATCCATGAGAAATTTTCTTCAGGTGTGGTCCACACTGAGAGAAAGTCTATGGAGCACTGAGTTTGCATACAGAAGAAAAAAGTTCCATGTCCTGCACCTACATTGTTCAGATTCCAATTATTTAGAAGTTAATGAGAAACATAAATCATGAAATTAAATCAGATGAAAGAAAGAAAGAAAGATAGGCAGACAGACAAGAATCTTTGAAATGTTTTAATCTTTATAACACTGTTCATATTCTATCATCTTACACTTTGCTAATGGTTCTAAATGTATGATCTGAAAGGTTCTACAGCTCTTGGAGCATGGGCTTTGCAGCTTATAAGAGTTGAAATCCTTGCTTTACAGTTCAGCACATGTAGGGTAATTCATTATTATGAAAGATGTATATTAGGGAATCTGTTGTATGCCTTACCAAGACTGGTTGTCAACATACCAGTGGGTACTGTCAGCTTATAGAAAATGTGACAGCAATGTTTATATTGTTATCATTTCTAGGGAGTATACATATTAGAACTATTTATTCCATTTTTCAATTGCTATTGAGATCACCCTACCACAAGAAGGTAACTGCCTGTGTATACTGGTATACCTGTGACCACCGTCAGTTTATTGGCATACATGTGACCAGCACAGCAGCTCCAGTACTGTGAAGTCATCTGAAGTATTCTATTTATAAGACAACATAATGTGTTTTGAACAGCACTTAGTCACTCTTAGAGGGTATTTCTAATGAAGGTATGAC